TTTACACTTTACTGTTTACTCAATTATAAACCAAATTTAAATTTGTGTTTTTTTAAATAATACCCATATGCATTATAATTGAATTTCATTTAATATACATTTCATGAGCTGGAAGGATTAATTCAATAAATGTGAACATTAATCAAATATAAAATTAAAAAGTTTTCAAAGTAAAATTTATTTAAAAAAAAAACTCAACCAATGTTTAAAACAATTCACAGTTGTGCTTTACAGTTTTGTTATTATATTATATTTTGATAAAATTGCTTAATTTAGGTTTTTATTTTTTTAATTATATAATTTTTGCTTACTAAAATCTATAAACCACCAATATATTACTTAAATTATTTCTTAATTTATTATTGATTATTTCAGGAAAAAGCTCGATTTTATAATCTATGTTTATTTTTATTATAGCATTTGCTTTGATGAAGTATTACCATTTAGTTGATCATCAAATTTATGTTTGTACTGAAATGAAAATTTTTTATATTAAATTTGACCTTTTTATATAAACCAAAAAAAATGTTTATCACAGTTTATTATCTTCTGAGATATTAATTTGTTGATGAATCAAAATATTTCATTTTGAAATTAATCATTACAAATATTAAATTTACTAATATGATGAAGATATTGTGTGTACTCCATTTGTTGAATTATAATTATTTTTTTTTTTCATGATTTTAAAATGCTGTAAAAATGTCATTCTTTCTAATCCATTGAAACTTTTTAGCTTACACTATAGTTAAATTCAAATTAATTTAAAATACATTGATTTCAAAATAACTTAACTAAATAGGTTGTTATGAAATCATGTAATAATGAACATAATTGTTATTAATTTATTATATTTATCTTCTTTGTTGTATTTGTTTATTTACTACATGGATATCTAGAAAAAAAAATGCATATTGTCAATTTTGTTATTATGGCTTAAATTAAGTATTGTTATTAGACTTAAGTATTTATAATGTTTGAAAAAGTGATCACATTTAATCAATTTATTTTCTTCTAGATTATTGTAATTCATAGTTGAATTTGATTTAATGTTTACCTTTTAGTGTTGTGTTTATTAAGAAGAGTAGATTTAGTAGAAGAAAAAAATTAATATTTTCAGGAATACTGATTTTCTGACTAGTGGCTATTTATAATTTATAATAAATTATTTATTCCAAAGGCTTAGCCGCTATATATGATTAGAGATTTTGTAAATAATTTAAAATTTACTTTTTTGATTTTGATGACGATATTATGTCTAAAAAAATGTATTATTTAAAAAATATAACGTGACCTATGACCCATGGTTTGGGAATCTCTGGACTAGAGGACTCCTTTAGCATACATAATTTATACATATAACCTATAAATTTGTACATATTTTATGTGTTTACTTTTATAAATTTTGTGTCTCATTAATTTTGTAACAGTCATAGAACAATGAACTCCTGATTGTTTAGACAAATTAGTTGAGTATGCATGTCCAGATACATAGTACTATTAGTACATACTGCTGTTACTTAACTTATGTTTCCAAATTTTATATTCTTATTTTATTATATCTGAAAAATCCGCCATACATTTTTTTTTACTTAGATGTTCGCAATATTAGTATTCGTGTGTTATGTTCTAATGTTCTATATATATAATATAAGCATATTTCATAATTATTTAATTAATAGAGTTCTCAGAGTGTTGTAAGATACATAGTACGTTTTGTGATAATTATGTCTTGCCTCCCTCCTAACTGTGTCGCCCTCAAAGGCAGTACTTAATTAATAATCATCTCATAATATGACAGTCTTCGCAGTAATAGCTCTGGTGTACAACCATCCACACCTTCACTATTAATATTTATTATTATTATTATTGTATTTATAGTCTATTATTAATATATAATATTATTTATGTCTATCTATTTTATACTTGTTGTGTGGATAATATTTTTTTCTTGATTTATAGTTACAATGGTTACACATACTGTTTTATGGAGTTTTAGTGTTTATTACTATATATTATTTGTATTTTATGTTAATTTGTTACTGTAAATATTTACTGATGGTCATTGGCAATTTGTTAATTATTTTCACATCACTACACATTGAATTTTATAATAATTATAGCATTCACCGTTTATATTTGTTATGTTCAGTTTTTTTTTTTAAACAATTCATTACATTTATTATTATTATTATTATTAACATAAGTATTTATATTATTGATCTTTTATATTATTGTTATGATTTTTATATTATTTATTACAGAAATGTAAACTGTGTCATTGGAGGATGACAATCATTATTGCTTCTATGTCCAGTAGACTAATTGTATATTTTTAAATTTTGTGATATTCACTGATAATTTTTAATGTAACGTCACCGTTTGTTGGAAAATGCTTTTACCTACAGTACATATTTACAGTAACAGATTTTTATATATTTATGATTTATTATTATTATTTATTTATTTAGATTTATACCAATTTTGTTTTTAATATTTAGTTTTACCTATAATTGTTTTAAACCAATTTATTTTTTACTAACAAAAAGCGAAAAAATATTTATTGTCATATTTTAATAAAAATCAACCATATAAATGTAGTGTAATATCAACTCTGTACTCTGTCTCAATATATTAATTCTAATGTTTCATTATAATTTGCATTTAATTTGGACTACCTTATAATTAAAATATCTAATATCCAATAATCCTTCTACACACTTATTTAAAATTTTTTTTATATTTATACAAAAATTATTTGAAAAAGAAACACTTTATAACATATAAGTATGCAGAAAATTTTTGAATAATAAAAAGTATGTATTATTACTTATAATTTTAAAAGTACAAATGTTTGTATGTCTAAAGGTTGTGTCTATACGCAAGCACGACCTCTAAAACTGTACGTAACATATAATGTAATATTGATAACTGCAGCTCCTTTTAAATATTAATAATTTTCATAATTTTTTATTTTTTATTTTATTCAGTTATCATGATTAGATAATGATTATGCTTTTTTAAAATTTGGGAGTTAAACTTATTTTTCTTCATCTGATATTATTCAATTATCATATTCATATATTTAGCTTGTTTATGATTTGGAAAAGAGGGCTTGGCATATCTGTGTAAAAGTGTATAGTATTTTCTAAACAACTTTGTTGTATATTATATAAGTATACTCGTTTGACTTAAATACATCCCTCTGGAGAGTGAAAAAATTATGTTATCCTGGAATACTTGTTTTCAATTCCTTCAAAGAGTAAAGATTTAAATGAAAATGTATAGTGTTAAATGTTTATCATATTGATGCAATTTGTAGGCACAACTTAGTTCAAGTATTGGGGTAGTGAGATTATGTATTTATCACAAACCCAAAGGATTACACCTCCTCAACTTCAAATATCATTCCTCAATTTATAAATTACAATTAATTATTACCATTCCAAAACAATGCCAATATTTTTTACATAAAATATACTTTTACATTTTAATTCAACATGATTTTTCTTGGTTCTAAGCAATATTTATTTAAAAGAGGTCTAGTACTCAGTCAATTTTATAAATCTTTTTTGATGTTATACAAAAATAAATTAGAAAACCTTTGGTGAAGCATGCTTAGTCATTTCTGTATCCAACGCATTTTCAAAAAACTATACTCACAAGTAGCAAAGCTAATGGTGATTGTCATTACAATTTACATAAATTTGGAAATGAATCTTTTAAATTTTTCTTTTTATTATTCTGTAGTATAAAGTAAGTTAATAAGCAGTTATAAAAAACTATCACTTCAGCTATTAACACATCAACAACCTATACATTTAAAATATCCTATAAAAATATGTTATTATTTATTAGTATAGACATTTATTTTTACCTTATAATAATTAATGAACTAGAGACTTTTATCATAGTTTAAACTAATACAATCATTAACTAATCAGTCATCGATACATTTTTAAAAGTGCTGAATGTTTTAGAAACTTATCAATAAATGTAATTATAAAATGATAAACACAAGTTGCAACCGGTGTAAACAGATACTAGATTGTCAATTATATGAGTTGGTCCATAAAATGTTTATTTAAAATTCATAGTGATATCATACTTTGGTAATAATATTACACTCTGCAACAGCATACATCTATCCATTTATTTTAGCCTATAATAAGCATCTTATCACTAATTTCCCATAAACTATAAAAATCTATATCATAATATGTCATGACTTTTGACCAAAATCGTTATATTTTTTTTTGTCTAATAAATATCTCATAATTTGATGCTTAAGACTCTTTTCATTCCCTCTCTTCATAGTTGAGTTAATAAGAAAGTTATTGGTTTAAAGTTTAAATATTACTGCCAACAGGTATGTATTCTAGTAATAGTCTAGTATGATATTTTAATATGCTTAAATAATGGTAAAAAAGTAAGAAATTAAATTATTTACTTTCTATTGTATTTTAGTTCTCCACTGTCAAAATTTAATGTTGAAATAATTTACGAAAAATAAGTGGTTTTAAATTAGGATTTGGTAAAAGTAATGACTCATGAGGTATTTAAAATTAATAAATTAATAAATATTGTTGTTTAGAGAACCTTATAAAAATCAAATAGAAATAGAAGTGTTTTCAAATGTCTAATAAATACACTGAATAGAACTTTCTAGATTTTTTCTTTTAAAATGCATTTTTAAGTATTAAAGTTAAATTAAATTTATATGAAGTAAGTAAAATTATATAAAGTCCATATAAATGTTAATTTAATTACTTTTTAAAATATATAAAAATCAATTTGTTTTTTTTTTTAAATTAAATACATTATAAATATATATATATAACTATATTAGGTATATTTATATTTGCTTATAATTGATTAAATTGATTATATTTTACAAAATAAGTAAAAAAAATAAAAATATATAAATTTTTTAATACGAAAATCAATAATAATAATTTTATAAAAAAATTCATTTAATTGTAAAAGATTATTTAAAATAATCAAGGGTTTAAAAGTGGTTTAAAATATGAAGAAATACTGGTACATGGTTTCTTGGAATTTGAACTTGAAGCTTTTGAATTGTGTTTACGTTTTTTACCAGACTCATTTTTTTTCTTTTTTGATAGTTCATTTTTGATTATTTTGTTATTTAATGGTTGTAGAGGGTTAATAGTATTCAAACTTTCGCTCAATTCTAATGCCACATGATGGTCTATGTGCTCGTCGTATGCATCAATTTCAATCATTTTGTTACACCGTTCGCATAATAACGCAAAAGATGCACAATCAATAGTATCTTTTGTAATGGAAGATTGAACAATTGGCACTGACTTTGAATCATTTATTTTTTGATGTTTTGTTGGTGATACAATTTCCAGTTTTTTTGAGAAAAAACTTTCTGTTGATTGATCTGGTCTGTCATGATTATCCTTCAATATTTTTTTTGTCGGATAAATTACATCAGAGCTTTCCGATAAAAATCCCACTGAACTTGCTGATGAGCATTTATCTACTACTGTAGTTATTTTCCCATTTACTTGATTTTTAACCGGAGAAATAATTTCCAATTTTTTTGTGAAAAAACTGTTTATGTCATGTTTATACTGCTGTCTAATTTCTTTTTTAGAACTCTTATTTTGTAATGTTGAAGAAGATTGAATTGAAGAACTAGAAGAATCTTTCATTTGAGCAAACATAGTTTTTAAATTCTTTACATCGTTAGTACATGTTTCTTTCTTTTTATCTTTAGAGTAATTTAATGATGATGGATGATGATTAGACAATAATGTGTTAGCTTTAGTATTAAATTGTTGTTGATTAATTGGCGTAGAACTATCACTTTCAATAATGATTTTAGAGCTAGTTGTACTTTTTTCTGGCCTTGGTAATGGAATGTTATTATCTTTTTCTTCTTTGACAGCTCCTTTGTTAAAATAATTGTCTATTGATGATTTGGCATTAATTTCTAAAAACTTTCCAATAGCTATACCTAAAAAAGATATTGGATTTTTCCTGAAAAAGAAAAAAAAAATAAGAATTTTTGGTTCAAAGGTAAAATTATATAAAAAATGAATATTTAAAAATGGATATTAGCTTATCAGTATAAAAGGTACTTTTGGATACTAAATAACACACAATATTACTGCATGTATATCAAATCCTATTAATTATAATTTATAAGTAACCTACATATCAAATATTTTGTATATTTTTAGAGAAAGCAGACAAAAGACTAATGAATAGACCATGTAAGATATTTCAAAAAAAATTTTTATACATAATTCAGGAACATTGGAAAAAAGAATTCTAAACATGGTTAGCCAGAGAAAAAAATTATGATCGAATCCATTGTTTCCACCAAAATAAGCTCTAAACAATAGTAATGTCATTTTTACGCATACAGTTTAGCACATTTATTACTTTTTGTATTACAATTTAAATAGTTAAACTTATGAATAATTAAAAACATAAAATGTTTTTCAAGAACAAATTATCTTTGATTAATTTGATGTATTTCCAAAAATATACAACTTTTTTTGTTTAATACTTTCTAATTTTTATATTTATTTGTAAAATATCCATATAAGAGAGTTATTACAAATCACTATCAAAAATATAATAAATAGGTAATATTAAATACTAAAAATTTGAATCAATTTACAGTGTGAATGTTCTAATATAAATACATTTTACTGCATCATAAAATTTTACATTTTAAGTACTAATTAATTAAAGTCAATGAATTCATAAAAATTCCTTCAATCAAGGATTAAAGTTAATGTGCATATTTTTTTCCGCGGTTATCACTCTGTTAAAAATAAATAATATATATGTTACTGGCAATATGTTGAATCCGGTATTATATAGAAATTCTAGGTATTTTATAGAATACCAAAAACGAGCAGGAAATGGTATAGAATGTAATACAATGACTAGGTATTCTATAAATCACTTAACCTCAAGCAGGAAAAGTATACAAAATTAATAAATAACTTAGATTTGTATCTGGTGTATCCCTGTAATCAACGATTAATGTTTATCTTGATGATTATGCTATTGCATACAATACGTGTGCAAAGTATTATCATTATTATTAGCTAATCATATTATCATGTTATTTGTGTATACGGGAAAAATCAATATACGTCTTTAAAAATATGATTTCTTTTCACTTTTGTAAAAGGATTAGTCGTATTAAGAATTAAGATACATTAAAATGTCTAAATGTTTTTATGTTGTACTACAGAAAAGTTGAAAAAAGTCGAAAAATACTGTTAATTTATCGAATGATAAATTGAAAATGTCAATCTAAAAAATGCTTATGTGTAAAAAATAATATTTTATGTAGTTCTGAATGTCATGCATCAACTATATGCTACAATAAATAAATAAAAATAAATAATAAACAATAAATAATAATAAACATATTTTGATTGAACACATTACCTAACATAGTATAGGCGTTTTATAGAAATCCTAGGAATTGTATCGTATACCTAGGCATAATATAAATTACCATTGAAATTTAATACATTGCCAAATAGTTCAAGGAGTTTTATAGAATTTCTAGGGAATTTATAGAGTGCCTACATTCACCACTTTGTTGGTAACATATACATTTATACAAAACTATAATAATCACTTGGATTTTATCAATAAAACAATGTATTTTTAAAAATATTACACGTAAATTTATGTAATTACAAAATACACTTAATTGATACATTATTTTTACAATTATGATAAAAAAATAGAAATTAACTAAACAAATATTTAATTTTTATTAATAAATTTATTCTTTGTTATATTTAATGTCTATGTATTGATTTTGTCAATGTTTTAGTTGTTCGCGATAAATATTGAATAAATATTGCTAGTACTGATATGTATAAATGAATATTCACATAACTGTGATTTGTTTGGAACTATTAAAAATATTTATAATTGTGGCTTCACGAGTTAATATAGATATTTGATAATGTTATTATTATTATATCACCATATTTGCATATTATGATATACGAGGTAAAGGCTAGGATCTATTACATTAAAAAAATTATATTTCAGATTTTAAAGATTAGACGATGTATATTTTTGAAAATACATCTATTTGATTAAAAATAATCTATGCTTAAAAATATTTTACTGCAATTATAATTTATAAGTTTCTCCATTTAGATTATAACAACAAAAAAACAATTGACTTTTTGTTCATGTAAGCACAAAATTATTACTATCTGAAACACATTTGAAAATAATTTCAGACAACTTTTATATGCACAGTTTGAGATGGTCCTTTCTTTAATATCCATTACGAATATTCAACATGGTATGTTAAATGTTGTTTTAGCTAGTGTTAGGAGGACAGAAGTCAATATTTTAAGTGATAATTTAATATTTATAGTATAATAAAATACCAATGTAAAGACTTTTGATTTTCAGTCATGGTGCACAATGACGAGAAGGCAGCATCCAATAATTTATTATGATTATATGTTGTAACTTCAAAACACTGTGAAGTCGGCAATTTTGTATTTTTATCTAAATATCTAACACTGACAGTCATCAATGTTGCTTTTCTTTTGTTCTAAAAATAAAAAATAATTTTCAAAGTTGAGTTAAATAAAATTAATAAATGGTACATACAGCCTCAAAATCATCATTTAGTTTTTCTACAATATCATTGATTAACGTGTTCAACCACAATTTTATTTCATCTTTGACTTTAAGGCCTATAGGAAATGATTTACAACTGCCAATTGATTTGGGTATAATTCTAGATTCCACAGGTTCATGATCTATACCTTTGGAGATTTGGCACAAAAAGTTACTGAAAAAAAAAAAATGTAATCATAGTTTTATATTAAAAAATATTATTAAATTAATTATTACCATGTTTTGGCATTAAATTTTTTTTGTAAATCATTTAAAGGTATTGCAGCTAAATCTGACATGAATTTACAGTTAAATTCTTGCTTAATTCTATTTCCTAATTTACCACCTAAATTTTTAATTTTTTTAATAGGTATAGATTCAAACAAATGAGGTACACTAGAAGGTGGCAACAGTGTTTGTTGATTAGGCTTATGTAAGCCACACGCAAGCTTAGATAGAATCTGGAAAAATATAACATGATTTTATTATTTAATTTATAATTTTAAATAATTTTACATGAGAAACAAATACAAAGTTTAAATACTTTTACAAGGTATATAAATTATAGAAGTAAATTTTTGATTTGCTATATTTTTCTTGTTAAATACAATTAAAACTATAATAATCTATTTAAGTTAATTAATTTATATGAAGTAGAAAAGTAGTAGATTTTTTTTTCAAGTTATTCATCATGGAAAATATTTAAATCCACAAACCTTGTTATTTGCAATTCCAGCTGAACAACGAAAACCAGTTTTTTCAAAAATTGATTTTCTTAATTTTTCAACCATCATAGCTCCGATTGTTAAACGTAATAAGTAATCATCTTGTAACTCATTGTTGTATACATCGTGGAGCCAAGATTTTATACTCACACTTTTATCTTTTTAATGAACAAATCAAATAAGTGTTAATATTTTTTTTTAAAGTACATAAAAATATTTTGTTATTTTTAATTAAAATGAAATTTCTACCTTTAGGATTAGTTAGTAATTTTTATGATAAAAAACTACATGAAACTATAAGTAACTAAATCCATATAGAAATTCATAAAACAATAATTTAGGTTATTTTTACTTTAAATTTATTTAAACTCAACACTAAATTACCTTCAGAGTTATGACCTGAATAACCTTCAACAAATGTATTGGTAAGGTCATTTTCTGTTATTATATTATGATTAGTTGAAATATAATCATTAACCACGCTAGTTAAATCAACATAAGCCTCATCAATACTAGCTCTTTGTACACAAGAACTAAATTCACTGAGGACCTCAAATACTTTTTGGCTGGCTGTACGATATCTATAAAGGACAAAACAAATGAATAAATCATTAAATATAGATAACATTGTAAATTTTTTTTTGTTTTTATCATTTTTTAAGTTTTAAATTTCAAAACAACAATTTATACTTTTAATTTCATAGTACATGAAAATTGAAATACTCTGAAAAATATTTTACTCCAGGATGTGATGTAAAAAATGTAAAAAAATAATACCTAGAAATAACATTTTTTCCTCAAAAACGAATTTAAATGGCAAGTTATGTGCAAAAAAAAAAATGTTTTAAAAAAAGTTACTACCTCACAAATAATTAGTATAGATTATGTTATTCTTAAATCATATATTTTTTTAAATTTCTATTCAAGAAATATTCAAATAATATAGGTTATTTACCTAATTTATAGTTTATTTATTTATTTATTAGCATGAATATCCACGTGGGCTTAAGTACATTAGCTAATATCTCTTAAAATAACATTACTACAATATAAAATCATTAATACATAATACAACATGTGATTTGCAAACAATAATTGGTAAATTAAATTTAGGTAGAATAAACGAAATATAGTATATAAAAAGACCTAAGATGATTATTGATATTAATTTGGGTTACATTAAATAGCTGAAAAATAAGGGTTTGATGGATATAAATTTCTCATATTAAACAAATCAAAATTCATTAACTTATTAAATTCTCTGGCTATACGGTCAAGTGAATTATTAAAACCATAAGATGTATGATAAAAAGGAATTTCAAACGTGGGACAGTTTCTTGATTGATATTTCGAAATATGAAAGTTAAGTGACTGTAATGATTCAGGACAAAATATCACACTATTCGCTAATTTAGATTAAAAAAAAAACAAATATCATTGTACTTACGCCTATTTACAAGAGAATCTAAATTTAGAGAAGCCTGAACTGAAGACAAAGCTAATAATGTGGACGGGTTGATATAAAAAAGTGTATTATGTTTATTAGCAACGAGACGTAAAAATCTTCTTTGAATTCGTTCGATCGCTTCAATTAGACCTTTTTAAAAGGGATTCCAGATGATTGAGCAGTACTCTAGTATTGATTTAACAAGAGAAGTATACAAAGTTTTAAGACATAGTTCATTTTTAAAATCCTTAGTGTTTCTAGTTATAAATTGAAGACATCTCAAAGTTTTCTTGTAAATATATTCAATATAAGAGAAAAATAATAAATTCATTTAGAACATTACACCAAGATCACAAACATAAGTAATTTCTTTAATACAGTCCGCGAAAAAATAATTTACATTATCTAACTTATTTTTAGAATGAGAAAAAGACATTTTAAAACATTTAGAAGTATTTAGCTTCAACTTATTTTATAGACACCACTCACCATATTTATTAAGATCATCTTGAATTAACATTTACTGATGGTACATGAGCATATATCTTAAAATCGCCAGTTAACAATTAATAGTTACAATATTTAAAACACAAATTAATATCTAATATAAATCTGGTAAACAAAAAGAAAGATAGATGCCCCCTTGAGGGACACCAGAATGTACTAACAGTGTTCGATAAAAATAAATTAGTAAGTAATAATATAATAAATAATAAGACACTAGCTCAAATTTACAACATTAGTGTACTGAGATAAGAATATTAATTAGGTATTAAAAATTAATAAATGCATAGGAAATAATTATTATTTTGGGGGGAATTTTTTTAAGACTTAAATAAGAAAAATTATTTTTTAATATTTATGAAATATTGTTGGTGAGTACTTAATTATAATAATGATTTTTAAATACATTGCAATTCTAATTATCATGTTGCTATTAAATACTGCATGACTGTAATTCCAATTAAAATTATGTAGCAACATAATTATTGAAATGTCAATGCTCAATAAAATAGCAGATACATTTTAACAACCACAGTTATAGATAATTATTAATTTATATTTTAAGGGTCTATATAACTTAAGTAATTTGCACTTACTTTGATAAATCTGCTTTTCCATGAAGCTCTTTCACACGTACTAAATTTAAATCTGGACATGCCTGTACAGCGTCGTCTCCTCTCATATGTCGGTTTACTCCTTTTGCTCTTGCCTCATAATTTACAGCGATTATGCTGGAATATGACAATAGAATGACTATGATCCAATGCTTGACCGACACAAATATTATCATACTAAAATACTCACCCACCGCCTCTCCAACTGTTATACTGGACAACTGCGACCGGCTTTCCAATCAATGACTGGTTGTGTTGAACTTCTACTTGACAATAGAAACAATCCATGTCGACTAATGCCACTACTCGTTTGGCACCACAATCGTTCATGATCGAATCGGACCGTTTTCACATCAGTTTCATAACGATTTCCAGTAAGTGGCAGATGAGCGCCAAAAATGCAAGCGTTGATAACAGACGTATGCGTCGTTTACAATGGTTTTTATATTGTCACGCAACTCATTTTCTGACTGTACGACGAGACAAATGTCGACCTAAAAAACAATATTGTTCAAGTCGACGGTGTACTCGACCTTTTGAAAAGTACACAGTAAAAAAACATTTCAACGCGGACTGAGCACCTAGTGGTGATTTTGTAGATGCCGCGTAGAAATATTCATTGAAGAGTGATGGGTAGGAAGTTTTTCAAGAACACGAAACGAATCGAAAGCACGAATAATAAAATTATAATTTATAAATTTAATTATTTTACGATATTTGGAAATGTTATCTTAAACGTAAATCGAAACCACATATTTATCATAAACTATGTTATCATTATTATCACTATTATCGAAATTCGAAAGCCAACGGTTGTAAACAAATTGTTGTCAATTTTTTTTAACATGTTTACTAGAACTTGTTATCTTGTTATCTTTTGTACAACAGGATAGACGAGATACGAGTGATACGACGAACTATTCGCCGGTACTCAATAATCGCGAAAATAGCTACAGGCTCGTAGAGAGCATTTTTTATCCAGATCTGAAGTCTGTATTTGTACTTAAACATTTTTGAAAAGTAATCTTATTCTTTTACAAGACTGCAATCTGCAAACGCGTAACTAAAGTACAGCGTGATTAGGTCATTATGCCCGTGTTGATTGATGTGAGTAGTAACATTGTAATATTCTGTGGCATAGGTTCAATAGTATAGGTCGGAGGACGTCAACGTTTTCGATTAAGTGAGCTACATTAGAAAATTAAACTCTCTGATGATCGTCATCTAGGTCTAGACTGTCTAGAGCCTAGGTCTCGTATAGGAGATTTGTTTGAAAAGCAAAAAAAAAGTCGTTGACAGTTGTTATAACAAACTATTTTATAATTTCACTATCGTGACTGACCAGTAATGGTTAAAATAATTTTTATTCCTGATCTACCTATATTCTTTGTAAAAAAATTGACTGGTCGACGACCTCTGGTATAAATCCTATGTCCAATGATAGTTGTGATTTGTGATTCATTGTAAATTGCCTGATCGTACACTATTGTCCTTTTCGCATTTTGGCTCTAATTATATGGGATTAGTCGCCCTTATCCTACATTTCTTTATGACTGTCACCCGCCACTCCATTACTCACACATGCATTTCTCCTCATTCTCTATACTATTTATTCGTTTCTTTTTTGGCATTCCTCTCACTTTATTTTTTCTACATTCATTTTCAGTGTCACTCTCATTGATTTTGAATTACCATTCCTAATAATAAAATCGAACCATCTCAACCTTAATTCTTTTTGTCTACAATTAGTGGCACTCTTGGATTCTTAAATTTACAATATTATTTATTAGTATTAATTTTTGCTAATGAAAAGTTCAATCATCTGATATTTATGATTTACAATAGTTTATTTTCACCACAATTATCTTTATGGTGTTTATTTTTTCATGTCTATTTATGAAGATTTAACTGCCATTCTTGTGTATTCGTTCAGTTACGTATTGCTCTTCATGGTATCTATAAAACACATTAACATATTCTATAATATTTATTATGTTGTTTAAATTGTAAAATAATGTAATATCTATAAATAACTATTATAGAACTTGCCCAGTATAATATACTGTCTTTAAAATAATTTATATATTAAACTGAATATAAATGTTTTAAACGTTTAGAAACTTTCACAATTCATTGTGAATTCAAGTAGAAATATATTAAACACTTAAAAGAGAAGATAAATGTTATAAACAGAGGACATTTATCAAGATGTAACAC